TTTTTTCCTCTGGAATCCATGCTGCAGTTAGTTACTGATTTTAACTTGTTTTGATGTGTAAATGAACAAATACATCATGTCTGCTTTGCTCCTTGCAGTGGATTGGATAGATGTTTTTTTCCACTGATAGGTGATGCATTGTCTTGGTAATTAGCATCTTGATTTTGTGATTATTTGTCTGTAGCAGAGAAAATATGCATGCTGATTGTCCAAGGGCAGAGTCTGCAAACCTGTGATGTGTGGGATCCAGGGTTGACATCGCAATGCATTACAATGTAAGCTGTGCACTCTTCCTTTTGGACTCAGGGCTCACCTCCAATTACATTTCCCACATGTGATCATTTTTCTTTAAATGATGTACCTGAAGCTTTTAGAATTTAGCATGCCTCCAACAGCAAAGCTGTTCACACATTTCTTTTGCATCTCTTTTAAGATTGAGGTCTTCTGTGCAGGTCCTACAGAATTATGGTTTTGTGTGGTGTCCCTTGGCTTCTGGTCACTATCTGTGGCCATTTCTGTGACTGCCAGGCCAACCTGGACAGAGGCTGGGACAATCCAACAATGTGCTGGCTGATCTCAGAGGTACTGGAGCATCATTACAAGTGTCTCCAGCACAGCCATGTGGGCAGCCAGTGCTGTCCTCAGATGGCCTCAAGCCAGGTCTCGAAGCTCCACCTGTGTCAGGGGATGTGGCTATGAGGCTGTGGTTACTGGAATGTCCCTGCCTCCTAAATAGCTGATGGTTGAGGACTGACCCCTCTTGCCGTGAGCGACAACTCATGAACAGTTGTCTCTGGGAAACTATTTCACTGAATTCTAATAGATATCTAGCAGACAATTACCCCAGATTTCACTTTGTCCTCAAATCTTAGGTTCTGTTGACCTCATGCTAAATCAAAAGTACGAATTGCATTTTAAGGTAAAACCTTGGGTTATTATATAATTGACTATTATATTATTGAAAAAGTTACTAGGAAAAGAGAACAAATCTGAATTAGAAATGTCCATCCAGATGCTACCTCGAATAGATTTAGGAAACTTACTGTAGCCCAGTTAATCCTTACTCTAAGGGTTTTCTGGAAGTAGAGATCCGGAGTTTAGACCCTGTGCTACAGGTGGGCAGAGCGCAGCACACATGCCCACCCCTGGGGTGACGTAGGGGAGCATGCAGGATCAGCGGGGGCCAGGGGCTGCCAAGCAAGAGGATTGCAGTCAGCAGAAGATCGTGTGCTCCTGTGTTCGTCAGAATGCTTTCCCCTGGATGCTGACTTGGAAAGTGGACACAGACGAGCAGGAGAAGAAGCAGTGCTTGGAGGATGATTCTGGGATCTTCGTTTTGAAGCTGCCCTGGGCAGTTTAGGTAGTACTGTCCATAGGGAGTTGGAAATAAGGAGTTTTCAAGAATCATGTGTTATATGAACGAACCTCTTTCCACTCATTTGGGCTTTGTTTGCCACTGATGACCTGGTGAAAGTTCTTTTTGAACCTTGGCCGGGCACTGTAGCTCATGCCTGTAATCCCAGCACTCTGGGAGGCTGAGGCAGTTGAATCACCTGAGGTCAGAAGTTCGAGACCAGCCTGGCCAACATGGCGAAACCCTATCTCTACTAAAAATATAAAAATTAGCTGGGCGTGGTGGCACGCACCTGTAATTGCAGCTACTAGTGGGGGCTGAGGCAGGAGAATTGCTTGAACCCAGGAGGCAGAGGTTGCAATAAGCCACGATCATGCCACTGCACTCCATCCTGGGCAACAGAGCAAGACTGTCTAAAAAAAAAAAAAAAAAAAAAAAAGGCTGGGCACCGTGGCTCACGCCTGTAATACCAGCACTTTGGGAGGCCAAGGCGGGTGGATGACGAGGTCAGGAGATCGAGACCATCCTGGCTAACAAAGTGAAACCCCGTCTCTACTAAAAATACAAAAAAGAAAAAAATTACCTGGGCATAGTGGCGGGCACCTGTAGTCCCAGCTACTCGGGAGGCTCAGGCAGGAGAATGGCGTGAACCCGGGAGGCGGAGCTTGCAGTGAGCTGAGATTGCACCACTGCACTCCAGCCTGGGAGACAGCCAGACTCCGTCTAAAAAAAAAAAAAAAAAAAAAAAAGGAAAAGAAAAGAAAGAAAACTCCACCTCATTCGGGCTGATGAGAGTCCCAGTTGGGCACCGTGGTTCTGGCCAAAGGGCTGTCCTCAATGCCTGATTCACCCGGGCTGCTGGAGTGGAAAGCGGGGCTAGGAAGAGCCTTGGCCCATGACGAATGTTCGCCCCTCCTGCTGCCTGGCTGTGACTTTTTCTCCTCAAGAGCGAGACAGTCACCATGGGCCACATTCACAGTAGAGATGGCCTGGGGCTCCACCTCTCCCTGCTTCAAGGGCTGAAATTCACAGGCAGCTGTGGGGACAGGGAAGCCCAACTGCTCTCTCACTGGCACACTGGGACTTGAGTTGGCCACAGCTGGAGAACCTTCTATTAATTACTTTCTTCCCTTTTTGTAGACTTTTTAGGTGTACTCCATTTGATGAAAACCTAAACTTTTAAAACTCCCAATATTTACAATGGGTAAGTCAAGGGCAGTTATGTGCATCACAAATACCCGAAGGTAACATTAACGTATTAACATAATGTCTTGCAATTTACTTCAAGTATATTTAAAATACAGGTTTACACAGAAATCTATTTTACAGACTTTTCCAGGATGAGATCTTCTTATGAAACAAGATGTTAGAGCACATTCAAAACATCTTTGGCAGCTAAACCCCGTAGTCTCCAATGCTGAATTTTAGTGTGTCCTTCCAGTTGTATACCTAAGAAAAGATATTTTAATTATAAAGGTATGATCTATCAATGCTTTCTAGAATATAAACCCGCGACAAATAATGCAGAAATTATTTTAAATTTTGGCAATATTATCTTCTAAGTATTTTTTTTTTCTTTGAGACAGTCTCGCTCTGTCACCCAGGCTGGAATGCAGTAGCGTGATCTCAGCTCACTTGCCTCCTGTGTTCAAGCGATTCTCCTGCCTCAGCCTCCTGAGTAGTTGGGACTACAGGCGCCTGCCATCATGCCCAGCTAATTTTAGTACTTTTAGTAGAGATGGGGTTTCACCATGTTGGCCAGGCTGTTCTCAAACTCCTGAGCTCAGGTGATTTGCCCACCTCGGCCTCCCAAAGTGCTGGGATTACAAGCGTGAGTCACCGCGCCCCTACAATAAAATCTTAAAGGTGACAATCCATCACCCACCAACTGACCCACTTCAAGTGACAGCACCGCAGGACCCCTGTGTCCAGACCTCTGCACACAGGAACATGAAACGTGTGCACATAGCAAAATACTCGGGAGGAATACACAAGGTGTTATGTATGCTGATCTCATAGATGAGACAATAATTAAAAAGTAACTGAAACTACCTTTCCTGTTGGTAAGGGAAAGCTTTCAGCCACAAATAAGGCAATAAGTACCTCTCAGACCGACCGATGCCCATCAGTAAGGATGCGGCTGAGAAATGTAGATGGAGGGAATCATGTGAATGATATTGATAACATAAGCTCAGTTCTCTTGGCCAACCCTTGCACTCTAGAATTAAAGCTAAGATTAGGTGATGTTCAGAAAAACAGCATACAGTAGGGCTTTGTATGGAGGACAGTAATTTTGTGTGTCCATATGTTGGTGCAAGCCAAACCTATAGATTCACATGAGGGGTGACAAATGAGTCATTGGTTGATCAGCACATTATAGATTCTCATGGGAATTCAGGGCTATTTTAGGTTCATCTCAGTGTCATGGGCATTTTAAAGTTGCTCATCACATTACCATCTACACCTCTGCTGTAAAAGAATGGCATAGCAAGAGGACAGGACCCATGCTTCATGACTCTGGAGGTAGCAGTTCTCTGCATTGTCCCCCTTTCCTTGCCTCTTTGCTTAGCTTTAGCATTTTCTGGTGCTTAGGGAGTTATAAGAATCCCAGACAGAGAGCATAGCAAATGCCCAATTTAGAGCTGAAAAAATTACCTCGATCTTGTGCTTTGACGTGGAAGGCGGATGTGGGATGCCCTTTGCTTTTCTTTTTCTGTCCTTCCTTTTAGACGGGGCACTCTTTATTTTTAACCTGTCTAGACTGTGTATAAAGTAGTAAAGGGTCTCTGAAGCACAGCTGCAGCATTCACTTGTATCAGTCTGTATGTATGTCCCTGGAAGCTTTGCATTGTGGCAGCACTCAAGCACACGCAGGAGCAGAGGATGGTGAGCCCCTGGACTCTGCTGGGAGCTGGAAGGGATGGATGCCTCGGTGAATTCGGAAATAAATGATGATGCAACAGGACTGCAGACTGCTCAGGGGACTTGGAAATAGCAAAACAGACAGGCCGAGAGAGGTGCCTTTGAGAGCCGGCCCTGCACTAGAGTATAGGAAATTGGAAGAATGAGTTTATAACCAAGTCACCAGCACAACTGACTCTCCAGAAGCTCCATGGTTTGGGGCCACTTGAACATTCGTATCTCAGCTCACCGTGCAAGGCCCGACCTCTATCTGGACAGTATCACCCCTCAAGAGCCCACTCCACCCAGTCTGAGCTTGTGTTTTCCACACATGTCTGCACCCCAAGGCTTCCCCATTTCTCCCATTCTGCCATTATCCTCTTTGCCCCTTCCCTATGCTCCCAGGTCCATCCCACGTGCAACCCTACCCACCACTACCACCACGTGGTGCCTCTGATCATCTCTTTTTGGTCAAAAGGAAAAGCACAGGAGCTTCCAGGCCACCCTGGAAAGGTTTTCAGGCACAGAAAACACAAAGAACAGGTGGGCAATACTTTGTGGTGCTGCCTGCCAGGAATCCTAAACACAGGTGAAAACATGGAAATTGCAGCTCTCACCCAGCTAATTTTAGACTGACACTGGTGGGTGGACAGACAGGGTATCTTGAGGCTCTCCAAGCTCAGTTTTAAAATGATTCTCTGCATTCCTGTGATAATTTTGAAAAATTTTGCCCTGCTCTTCATAGGTGTATAGAATGCTTTGCATTCCTTTGGGGATGTCATACGGGGTGTGAGAACCAAAAAGGATATGGTAAGTGGCGATTCTTCATTCCAGAGCCACCTGTGTCCATGCAACGATTCCGAATCACCCGCCGTGGGCACTCGGAAGCATGTTTATGCATGAAGCTGTGCACACAGTGGGGCCGAGTGCTAACCAGCCAGAATGAATGTACTATCCCCATCTCTGATTCCACAGCAGGGCTCCTGAGTCATGCACACCACCCACAAAGGAAGCTCAGATTTATGCATTGCCTGATTGTTCTGGTCCTTAAGCTGGATTTTAGGTAATTGGAAAGGTATCTTGCAAGTAACACTCTCAGCAGGGCACAATTTATTATGCATGAAAGTTGAATCTCGAGAAAGGGAGTTGCCCCAAATTGGCTGATGAGCTGATGAGTCTGGAGGGAGGCAGAGCCCTTCACGAAGCCACCTGACCTTCTCCCTGCCTGGCCCAGGCACTGTGTATTTGCCCAGGTGCATGTAAGTGTTCTTTGCCCAGAGCTGTGCTTTGGTGCTGCCCAGGGAGAGGGAGATGGGTCCACAGGAGGAAGCCAGGCCACTCTCGGCGCCTTTGCCTTGTCAAGAAGGGCTGCGTCTTCTTTGAGGGCTTTGCCCTGCTGCAATGACAGGAAATGAGTTGAACTGGCATCTTATTTCCTTAGTCAGAGGGGCATCTTCTGTCTTCAGCCAGCTCTCAGGCACGCTTCCTGGCAGATTCTCTCAAATCTGCTCCCCTATCTGAACCGCGCGATGCTCAGGATGTTGCCTCTGAGTGTTCGCCTTATTTCTGCTGCTAGAACTACTGTCTGCCCACATCCAGGGCTCCAAACCATGGCCCACAGCTCCCTCCCCTCGCCTCACCACATTCTCCAGGTTGTGAATCCCAAGCATTCTCTCTCTACGAAGGCTCCTGGCCTCTCCGTTCCTGTCTGCTGTCCCTTTACTCTAGTCTGGTTCTCATGGCCTGCCACTTTTTGGAACCATTAGATTGTTCTTCCAGTTCACCACCCTGTTTTCGTACCTCCCTTTTCTCTTGTGTCAGCCAAAGTCCCCAAGTTAATGCTCCTAAGGCGGGTAAGCTGGTGCCTGTCTCCAGCCCAGGCTTCAGTGGTTCCTGATGCTCTGCAGAGCTCACTCAGAGCACCTTTGCTGGAGGTTGGTGGCTCTCACAACTCAGCTTAGGGCTCTACTTCCAGCACCCCCCTCCTACCCACAGCAGGACCATCCTGCCCACAGGGTCTCAGCAGGGCCACACCCTCCCTCTCCCACTCTCTCCTGCCTTCCGTACCCTGGTGTGCACTTGCCACCCCAACCTTTCATGGCCTGTCCTCCCATGCCACCCCTCCAGGAGCCCTTCCTCAACCTCTACCTGGAGGCCTTCTACCCACAAGCTTCCACTTCCTCCACAGGAAATGGGCCAGGTGCCTCTCCCAGGCCCCTCCTCATGCAGCGTGGCTCTGCTGTTCGGTTTTAGCCCATGGTGCTGGTCTCCCTTGAGCATTCTAAGTTCAAGAATCATAGCGAATCTGGCCAGAGCCCTCTTGTTACTGTCACGTGTGATCCCCGAGAATGGGATAATACTGTAATTCAGGTGTTCTAAAATAAAATACAGGGAGTACCAAACCTGCACTGCTTCCTGTAATTGCATGTCTTAATGAGAGTGTTCTTGACATATCCAGTTCCATTGCATAGCTGTGCTGACAGGAACATAGCCACTTAATGGCAAGAGCAAGAAAAATATTGCCCCAGGGAATATCACATAGTTTATGTATCAAGTTCTCTAAGGGTCTGCATGGTTAGAGGCAAAAAATTCAACCTGCCACCACTGTGTGCCTTTCATGAGAAAGGCCGATTCTTTCTGCAAATTCTTCATTAATCCTCGTCACCACTTAGGAGCACGGAGGCCACCTAAGACTTTTCTTTTCTCCAAATAATTCATCTTTTTTATTTAGATAGGAACAGTCTGACCTTAGCGGAAAGGGCTGGGAAGGTGCCTTTAATTTTTGGACAGGGCTTAACCCTTTGGTGCCAGGACAGACATCACGTGCCCCTGAGTCCTGAGTCTACTTGGGAATATTTGTGATGGTCCCTGTTGACATAAACATCCTTGTGCCTTTGTCTTAAAGCAGGAGAAGAAAGCAGCCTGCGCTATTATTCATGACACGTGGCATCCCAAGCCATAAGACTAAAGAATGGCTTTGGCAGCAGGACTTAAAACTGATCTTGGCACAACCTTTCATTAACCTGCAAAAGATTAATTTTATTTCCCAGTAACTTAACAGAATTCAAAAGCTAGGAGAAAAGGCTTGTAGGAAAGTCAACCTTAGATATGCTTCTAAATATATCTTAACTCAGAAATATTCCCCCTCGGTCCCAGCACAGAATTATAACAGCTCTTCATCTTCAAAAAGTGTGCATGAAGGGTTTTGGCTCTTGGTGGTCCGTAAACAAATGGTTGCAGGAGTCAAGAACTCAGGGTCTGGGAGACTCCTGGATCTAGACACATCACTGCCAGCCACTCAGGAGCAGGGACAAACCCCAGAGGGTATCCACCCCAACAACGGGACACATCCTGCGTGCCCATCTCAACCACAGGCTGTCACATCCTGAGCTTTTCCATGTGCCAGGCACCATGCTGAGTGCTTCATGAGCTCTGTCACATGCGTGCCTCCACAACAGTGATGAAATGGGAAGGAATGCTTTATGGATGAGGAGATTGCGTCTCTGGGAGATGGCACCATGGGATGGGGTGAAGGCAGGGTGTCAGAGCAGACCCTCCCAATGCTTGGCTAGACTGCCCACCTCCAAGGCAACCTGGAAGATATCAGACCTCCCTGTTACTTAGATAAAGGGTCTGGGTGTTTGGGGTTGGAAGTTTGAAAGCATCCTGGTGACGGCCAGTCCCAGCTATGTGACCCTGGCCAAGTTACTCCCTATCCCAGGGCCTCTGAGATAAGATAAGACAAGATGTGGTGAGGCTGACAGCTGCTGTGTGTGCTGTATGGGAGCAAGCAAGCCTACTCTGCAAATCAGAGAGAAAGCACCATCCGCACCTGGACAGCCGCTCCCTGTCCTGCCATCTCCCTGGACAGAGCTGCATGCCCAGGCCTGGTGCAGTCTCCTTGCTGGCCTCACCATCAGCCTTCCATGACACAGACCTGCCCATGGACCCCAGCATGGAGCTAGGACTGGGGGAGAATTTGCCCTCAGCGTACCCATTGTGCCTAGCCAGACCCCGAGCTTCCTGTGTCCCCCATTGAGGATCCTAAAGCCACCCGCACCCCCTGCCTCGACACCTCGACACAGAGGTTCTCCCTTCATGCTTGCCCTCCTGACCTTGTGCCGGAACTCCTGCTCAGCCCACACAGAACCAGCTCCTGAGGCGTCTCCCAGAGCCCTTCTAGACTGACGGAATGCCCCTGCAGCTCTTCTCCAGCTACAGTTGGGACTTTAAGGAACATTCCCAGCTTAAATCATGACACCCAAAGGACAAGGGCATAAATGGCATAAATGGGATTTGGAACCTGAATTCTTAGTGTCTGGAGATAGAAGAGGATGGTAATCTAGGGCTTTGGGGGATAACATGAATGGAGAGGCCACGCTGCCTCCCAGGTAGGGGAGAGAGGCTGTTACCAGTGCTGGGTGAGGCAGACCATGGAGAGCACCCTGATCGCCAGCAGGGTTGGGCATTGCTCTCAGATCTTTTGTTTTTTTTTTTGACAGTATCTCTCTCTGTTGCCCAGGTTAGAATGCAATGGCACTATCACGGCTCATAGCAGCCTTGACCTCCGGGGCTCAATTGATCCTCCTGCCTCAGCCTCCCAAGTAGCTGGGACTATAGGCACACACCACCATGCCCACCACACCTGGCTAATTTTTAAATTTTTTTGTAGAGATGGGGCCTCACTATGTTGCTCAGGCTGGTCTTGAACTCTTGGGCTTAAATGATCCTCCCACCTCAGCCTCCCAAAGTGCTGGGATTATAGGCATGAGCCACTGCACCCAGCCTCACTCTGAGATATTAATGTGCATGATTAGAATTTTTAGTGTTCGTGTAATCTGTGGTTTGGTAAAGGAATATAATAAATATACTTTTTTGTTTGTTTGTTTGACTGGTTGTTGTAAAGAGTGAAGTAGGGAGGCAACAACCAAGAATAAAGGGAACTGGTTCATCAGAGCACTTTCCCCAAACCTCCCACTCTCCAGTGAAAACAGAATCTGAGGGGAACTAACCTAAAGTTGCTAATTTAAGACTCTGGAGTGATCACAGCAATATATTAAATTAGATCTTAGAAACTGGGGCTAGGAAAATCAAAAGAAGGAAGGAAGGAAGGGAGGGAGGCAGTGAGAGAGGGAGGGAGAGAGGGGGAGGGAAGGAGGGGGGAGAGGGAGTCACATGGGAGGAATGAGCTAACCCTCCACACAGATCCTTTTTGGAAGTTGTCAGGGTATAAATAAAACACAAATACTATTAAAGTGCTAATTATTGACAAATTGTTGTCAAGGAGAAGTCCTGCTTCGCCTATTTAAATGCTTAGGCTATACTTAGAATGTTTATATGCATAAATTAATGTAATTGGTGAGTGGAGAATGAAATGAACAGAACTTAACAATACGTTGTAGTTTGGACCAGGTGTGGGGAAATGTTCTCAAACGTCTGACTTGTCAAATATTTTAAAGCAGCATTATTGCTTTCAAGCACTTCTGTTACCTTGCAATTAACAAGTTTATGTTTCAAAGGAGTTATTTCAGGGGCCTACTTTAATAAGTGAAAGCTAATATTTGAAATTAACAACCAATTTGTACATGTTTATTGAAATTCTTAAAGACGTTAGTATCTTAAGTAGGTTAGGCAGCTTCCTTGCTAATATTTGAACATCCATGTAATTGGTCCACACAGCGTTTTGTCCACCCCTAATAGCTTGCCTTTCCTTGTATGATGGTCTTCTAAAGATCCTCACACCCCAACACCCGTGTGAAATGAAATGGACCCAGGGAGGGGTGTTGCTCCAATGTTGCAGGAAACAGGGACTCTGATAATCAGAGAACCCCACCACCCACCTGAAATCCCTAAGGGGGTGATGGGCAAGACCTGGGTTCAGCCTGGATCTTCCGACCCCAGGTTGTGCTCTCTTACTTTAGCACCCTTCCAGAACCAAGCTCCTGACCCAGCAGGAGAGGCCACCTCTCTCTAACTGCTGGGCCCCTCAGTGAAGACTGTCGAGCTTTGTGGGAGCCTGGGAGCACAAGGAGCCCATGCTGCACCCACTTCATCCTCCCCATGGCCCCAGGGCTAGGCAGGCTTTTTCGGGGTCAAGAACTCACCCAGTTTCCCCTCCAGGTGGCCTCTCCTCACAGGCACATTTTCAGAGGGGACACAGGTACTCAGTTTACCCCACACTGCTGTCCCTGAAACGGGCGCCCAGTGGAAAGTCTGCGGAGTCTTTCATCTTCCACCTCCTCTCAGTTCGCTGCTGCCCAAAGTTCTCAATGTCCCTCTGCAGCTCAGAGAACGTGGGATTCTTCCCCTCTCCCCTCTAGAGGAAGGACCCCTAAGAGGGCCAGGGAAGTCATTTAGCACATCCATGAGCCTGGGTGGAAAATGAGTTACATCATTATTTTCATCAACCTCTAGCTGAAATTTAGCACTTCCTCCAATTAGGAGTGTAAGCAGCACACGGCAGAGTTTGTTGTGACTTTGTACCAGGAGAAACCACAGATGTCTTCACATCACATAACAGCTGTTGATGGTATCTTAAAATATTGTTTATGCTCATCACTACTTTAAAAATGCAAACCCAAATGTTAGTTGCTATTTAATGTCTTAAAGTAGCCCATATATTTCTATATTGATTATGACTTTTAATATTTCCAAAGCTCTATTTCATAATATTTGGTTCATCTTTTAAGCCTCTGTATTTTATTGTTTACATTTAAGAACACTATTCCGAGACAGGGGCTGTGGCTCTAAGAAGGTGAGGTTTTCTACCTGGCGTTGTGACATGTTGTCCATCTGGCCAGCACCTCCTTCCCACCCAGCTCAAGGCCTTTCACCAAAGCCTTTCCAGGGGCTCGCGCCCCTCCTCCACCAACATCCCCCCAGCTCCGCCTTTGGGGATTTTAATTCGAAGGAAACTGAAGCTCCCATTCCAGACAGGGCCGAGATCATGTTGCCAGTACAAGGGTGGGCCAACCTTTCTTCCCTCAGGCAGTGAAAGGCCTGCCTTCTGCACTCTCAGCCACCTCAGGGCCCAGGTTTCTGGGTTCAGCAGGAGAAAGCACAGAATCTGATTTGTGGGGAGCAGCAGCAGCTCCCAGGAGAAGGTGCAAGGAGGCCCCGGCAAGGCGGAGCAGAAAGGAGCAGGTGCAGGGGCTGAGGCAGCTGGACGGGGCTTCAGCCTTCACACCTGGACAGCAACTGGCTGAGCCTGGAGGAGAGAAAATCGCCTGCTAGCTTCGCTGTTTGCTGCTGCTGTGATGCCCAGCTGCTGCTCATAGGGTATGCACTTCCCAACCCTTCACTGAGCTACTGTTGCCACACAGGGTGCCGGCACTGGGGACACAGCACAGAGCAGGACCAAGGCCCTGTCCTTGTAGGGTTTGAAATACCAGGCCAGGTAGCAGAGCCCCGGCCTGCTACCTTCAGGGTGCTGACCTTCAGAGTGTGGGCCAAAGAGGTGGCTTCGGCAGCTTCTGGAGGTATCTGTCCCCTTCCACGGCCCTCCGTGGCATCCGTGTACTCTCAGGCCTCCCCCTTCTCCTGTAGCTGCTTAGGTCACTCAGGAGGTTTACATAACAGACACAAAAAATTTACCCGATGTGATAGGTGGGCCGAGAAGAGGTGGCCGCCTGGATGCTGTCCCCAGGGTTCTCCCACAGCACGGGGCCTGCACCCCATCGCGTGGCTCTGCAAGGGGCTGCTCACCCTCCAGCCATCCCCACCGAACGTCCGTGCTCCTGGCCCGCATCCTTCCTCTCCCTCACCTCCTAAACTCAGTCACCGACTCTGCCCCATCAGGACACCCTTCTCTCTGCTGCCCTGCCACCTCCCAACCGGTTGACTGGAGCACAAAAGGGGACACGGCACTACTCTGAACCAGGGAAAGCTGGGAATGGACTTGCGTGCCTTCCTCACAGTCACAGCTGCACCCTTTGGAGGTGCAACAGCAATGCCTGTAAGACCAGACCTTTAATGAGCTTCTAGACACTGCCTGCCTGGTGCTCCTGAGAACTCGACTTTATAAGAGCCACCTCCTTCTCCGAAAGGATCCCAGACGTAGGCAACCCATTTCACCCTCAGACTCCCCGGTCAACATGGCAAGGCCCAGGGGTGCGTTTTGCCCTCTGAGATTTACCACAAGGAAGCCCCCCAAAAGGGCGGGAAAACCCAAGACCTTCCCCGCTGGGCTCCTGGCCAAGGAGCTCAAGAAGGGGAGGCTGAGGGAGAGCTCAAGAAGGGGGGATCCTGAGGGGAGAGTCTAGGAGAGGGGAGACACTGGGAAGGGGGTCCTGAGGGAGGGTCTGGGAGTGGGGAGAGCCCGGGAAGGGGGTCCTGAGGGAGGGTCTGGGAGGGGAGATAGGCTGGGGAGGGGTTAGAGCCCGGGAAGCAGGGAGAACCTGGAGAAGAGGGAGAGCCCAGGGATGGGGGAGAGCCTGGGGAGGGGCAGACCCCTGGCGTAGTGGAGGGGGAATCCCGGCGAGTGGGGAGAGCCTGGGGAGAGGGGAGAGCCTGGGAAGTAGGAAGAGCCCAGGGAGGGGGGTCCTGAGGCAGAGCCTGGGGAGTGGGGAGTGCCCAGGAAAGGGGGAGACCCTGGGGAAGGGGAAGAGCCTGGAGAGGGGTAAGAGCCCTGGAAAGGGGGAGAGCCTGGGGAGGGGGGAGAGCCTAGGGAGGGGGGAGCGTCCAAGGAGGGGGGTCCTGAGAGAGCCCGGGGAGGAGGGAGACACCGGAGGTGGGGAGAGTCCGGGGAGGGGTGTCCTGAGGGAGAGCCTGGGGAAGGGGGAGAGCCCCGGGAGAGGGGAGAGCCCGGGGATGGGGGAGAGCCTGGGGAAGGGGGTCCCTGGGAAGGGCCCAGGGAGGGGGGTTCTTTACCATCTCTGGGAGGCAGAGCACCTGTCCTCCTGGGCACTGTGGGGCTCAGCCTCTCCTTCTCTTGTGGGGTCATTTCTGACCAGGCAAATTGTGTCCCGACGAGCCTGCTATTCTGCCCACCCAGAGGAGTATTCTCCTCTATACTCCGAGGAGAAAAAGACATCATCCCAACAGCAGCTTCATTCGCTTTATATTTTCCTCTCATCTTTTGAAGCTGGAAGAAGAGGTTCTGTATTAAAAATGTTCCTTCCCACTGTGCGTAATGCTAATGTCCTCCACATATTAAAGCTAATGGAATATTTTACACACTGAGAATAGCCGCTGTGACCTTTTCTTCTTTTGGATGAGCCTCTTATTTTTTTCTCTCTTACCTCTTCCCCTCCATGTGACTCTTTTTCCTTTTTCCTTTCTTTGTTTTTTATTTTATTTATTTTGTGGTGGTGGTTGTTATTTCAGATATGTAACTACTGTAGCCAAGTGACCAGGGCATTAGGGCTTGTATTTCCTTAATTGCAACAACAAATAATATCATCAAATAATATACAGGGAGACAAAATGCACCTGTTTTCTTCCAGGTATGGCCTCTGCAGAACCTCCCGCTCTTATATGCGAAGACTGAGGTTTACAGTCTCCTTTGCAGGGCGAGAGTGTTGAAGCCTCCTGGAATTTAAA